CCGCAGTTTTCACATTGCCCTCTTCGCGTAACACCACCCAAGCTCCGTATATAATCGTAGCCCGCCAGAGCCTAAATGCCTGAGGTCGATTGCATGCGCATAAAGGGGACCCCCAAAAGTGGGGCGTCATGTTGGTTCTCCGAGAAACCAATCTAAAAAACACACATACACACACATTTTGGCCTAGTCATGTCCTTTACCCATAAAAGGGGACTTGGTAACAGCATCTGGAACCTGCTTTCACCCGGAAGAGCATGGACGGTCTCCGGGGTACGAGAAACAGACACGGCCAGTCGCAAAAATCACACCTGGAGAACTGCCGGAAGTTTCGACAGCAACATAAGGTTCGGGCAATATGCTTTTTGAAACAAACGGTGCCTTTCACGGCAATTAGGCCGCCTGTAAAGGGGGCCCAAGTTTCACACCTGCTTAAATGTAAAGGGGTGCTTCCCATTCTTCACAACATATCGCAAACCATCTAGGCAGTTGTCTCTTCACCAAACATACAATGCGAGGCCCATCCATAGCAAGCCCTGCGAACATGTGGCGCACCTTCACAAGCGATGCGTTGGCAAATTTCCTCTTGGCTCCGTGCGCTGACTTTTCAAAGAGATCCTAACCTTGTGGCATGCCGCAGGCTGCAACCTTGACTCCGGCAGAAATCAATGGTCTGCCCTTTTTCAGCTCGGTGTCCAGGAAACTAGCTCCCCCCCCGGGAAGGGTAGCATGGCGCCCCTACAAGTTGGCCCACAAGTAGTTATGATTAAATCATATGGGTGTGGCTCACATTGAAGAGCTGGGGTTACGCGGGTTTTAGTCTTTGGTTCCATACACCAAGGTGCCATTTTGGCACCACTTTTTTGACCCACAGCCACATGTTGGGGCTCCGTGTTCATTTGCAAGGGAGTGCTTTATGGTCCTTGGCACATCTACAGGAGATGAACTGAAACCCTGCTCCTTGCTGGCTGAGTTTGGATGCAGAAAGTCAACCGTTGATACCAAAGTGGCCATGATGCGTTTGTCACTTCGAAGAAGCTTCTTGATCAAGCTATGTAGAAACCCAAAACCAACCATCTTCCAGCTGGAGGTCCCTGGAAGATTATCTTCCTATTGGGGCCGACCTTCAGGGTTGCACAGTCGGGAGGTTCAGCTCCTGCAAATGTTTCTGAAGGTTTCTTTGACACTCGGCTGATGCTATGTACAAATCCGAGGCTTCAAATTCCCGCGGGCCGTGGTCATGAGTCATGCCCGGGCGCGGGATACCCGGCGAGCGCACTTGAGGATGGCGGTCCTCGCGGCGGTTTCACCATCCGTGGGTTCTTGTCATAGCTGGGGTTTCGCGGCTTCTTAGTCTTTGGTTCCATGCACCAAGGTGCTTTTTTTTGATACCACTTGTTTGAGCCCCAGCCACCCAAGAGCCCCTCTTGCCGCATGTGCTTCAACGTTTGGAACTCCCCACAGAAGCCCCTAGCTTGCTCCGCTTTGAGACCTATCTGAACTGGACACTGTTTACCAGCTTCGATGCTCGGGTGTCCAAAAGTTGCGGGGACCTTTTGGGGAAAGCTCTAAGTCGGTAACTCCTTCTTGGCGCCGAAGGAAACACTAAATTTTGAGGGCTCTCCGAAAGACACAACGCTTGGAGGACCCTCCGTGTAGCGCATTTCGAGAAGCGTGTCTCGCTTCTTTTCCACTCCAGCAGCCCAAAGGGGCTCCGTGTACTTATTCGGTACACCCAAAAGGGACACGTGGCATCGCTCCAACGCAGCAAGGAACAACAGAGCTAAGTGGGAAGCACCCAAAATCGATTCACCTGCGATTCTTGCCAGATGGTAAGTTGAGTAGGTGACTTGAAACCTCCAAATCCACGGCAGAACCGTACACTCACCTGGCCAGTAATTCAGTTGCAAGGCCCTGGAAATCAACGGTTCACCTGGGCCATGCCTAAAAATGGACCAAAAAATCCAGAACGAAAACCAAAAGGTCAAAGATCGATTCCTGCCTCATCCCTCCAGCGCAAAGGCATCGATCCTGGGTGCTCGGGAATGCGACAAGCCGACAAGCCATGGGCGTCGTTTTGGTAAAATAGATGGCCCTGGTGAATGAAATAAAGCCAATCTAAACCAGTGGAACCCATCTATTTCTATGCAAACTAACCCAAAAAGGGCACCAATGCGACAAGCACGCTCGCAGCAGCAAGCGGCTAAAAGAAGCGTCTGCGCGGTTGAGCCCCCAATTTTTGCCAAGCCAACAAAGTGTAATCCAACATAACTCAAAAGATGGAAGCCGACATTTGCCAGGCCAAATATCGTGTTTAGTTGAGCCCTCCAAACAAGGGGAGTCGCAATGCTTCACACACCCAAAAGGGGCTCACCATGCAATCCCCCGACCGGTGAAATCGCTATAAGTGGCTCGCAACTATGCTTATCTGGCAAATAAATAGCGGCCGTGCTTTGGATATTGAGACATGCGGATACAGCACGGTCAGAGCACAGCCACAACACCATAGATACCCAATTAGGTCTCTAAGCAAACCATATACAGTCCGCAACAAATCCATCAACGCACGAGAATTATGTTCGTTGTCGCATTATACGGGTGTTCCTGGTGGAACTCAATGCTTTGTTTGGGGAATGGTTGCTGTCCCCTTCCCTTGATTGTATACCCATCATTCTCCCACTTTGCATTTTCCGCTATTTTTCCGAATGGATATCTTGCTCAATCTGAGGCATCAGTTGCAATTCCCTCCCAAAAGCAACCATGCAACCTGATTCAAAAGAGGATCCCTAGAGGAAAATGGTCCAAATCCGGGGATTCGGTCTTTGCAGGTTCCATGTCTTGTTTTTCTTCTTTGGGCAATTGTCTAAGTATCTTCACGGATGGGTTTTGGCCCACATTCTCCCCAAGGCCCCCTCCCCTCAGCCGAGCGGCAACTCTTGAACCTCCTGCACCGCCCGCTCGGGGCTCTTCTTCCTCTTCATGAGATGCCTGACGCTTCCCAGCCCCCGCCTCTCTCTTTCGCTTCGCGGAGAAAGAGAAAGACTGACAAGACTGAAAGCGAAAAATTTGACAAAGCTCGACAAACATAAAAAGAAAACAGGGAGGGACTATATACATGTATATATATATATATGTATATATATATATATATATATATGTATATATATATATATACAAAACACGTGGAAGATTTCGTTCCGCAAAGCACAGGAACTACATGATGAGAAGTACCACTTGACCTGCCTTTTGGGTAAAGAAAAGTGCGTTGCGCGTTGCTTTGGGATCAGAGGGAAACTGCAGCACTGCTCCAAACTAAAATCAAGTTGAAGGCTCGCCCCGAAAGCGTTTTAAGGCTAAAGCAAAGGAAGCCAAGTTGAGCATCAAACAGAAAAACCGTCCCCACACAGAGTTTGAAAGGCAAAGAACAAGCATGCAAATTGAACATCAACTTGACACATGTTCCTAAAATCCACAGTTCGAGGCCAAGTAAAGGCAGCTCATCAGCCTTGCCCTCTGCGAAGTAGAGCACCCCATGGAAGGGCCCAAAACAATCAGTTTGGGTTTTCCTCGGTTCCTCACTGTCTGAGGGGGTGGAGTCCTTGAATAGTCAGGACCAAGATAAAAGCACCCAGTAACAGTATAATACTTATTCCTTGCCAATCTTCACCAATATAATATTGTATTTGTTAATTCTATATCGGAGAAGATTCCATAAGGAGAGTTTACCAGTAAAAGTGGTGTCCGTGAGCTGGGCAAAAGCGTGACACCGGCAGTTTCAACACTCCTTGGTTGAGTAATCCTTCCTGGTTCCCAGGTCTGTCTGCCCAAGACCCTTGTGGGGTCAGGGGACCAGATTTCAAGTTTGGGGGCGCCTAAATTCGCCCGGTGGAAAATCGTTCTATCCGGTCATTCCGAACATTCGGGGGTCATGTAACTGTGGATGAAGGTTCTGGATGCCCTCTAAGGAAGGTGGAAGAAAAAAAACGCGGTTCAGGGTTCACAACCCTGACTTGTCTCTGGATCCGAAGTCAACATAAAATCTCGGGTCCTTCAATCCTTCCAGACATTCAGAAGTGTGGCAAACAAACCTTTGCCAGCAGCCCTTGCCCCCATTGGGAAAAGTTCCATCCTTCCAGACATTAGGGGTGTCGCAACAAAACCTTTTTGGGCAAAGGTGCAAACAAACGAATCCAAGTCAACCCATTTCCAGGGGTAACTTCCCCATTCTTTCCAGGGATCCTGCTTTCTAGACCCTGCAGAAATGGCGGTCGGTTTTTGAAAAGAACGACGGCTGAAAAGAGTGGACAAGGAAACAACCCCAAGACCATCGGCCCATTGGCCCACCTGTAAAAAAAAACACAACAAGTTCAGTTAAGGGACCATTGGCCCCAAGCCCACCTGGGTTTAAAACGACAAGTTAAGGGACGGGCCCTTACAGAACGAAAAGCCGCGGGGTGAAGTTGGTTTCGGCCCACCTCTGAATGTCCGCAGTGGTGAAGTTCCGCTCACTGGCCTTGAGCCGCTCCGCGAACTGCGCCGCCAGCTGCTCCGTGCCTTGCTTCCCACTTCCGAGGCGCGAGTCATGCGCGAGGAAGGCGGGGAAGGCGTGAGCCGGCCACGTTGAGAGGGTAACAATGGTATGTTGTGGGTAATACTCGGTTGCTTTCTGCTCCCCTGCTCAACTTGACCAGTTTTTGGTGGTTTGATGGGAAACCCATTAGTTGGCAACAAAGTTAAAGTCCCAACATCCAAGCAAAATGCACCAAAGGGTTTTTGTCGTATGTCATCATGCATGGCACAACATCATGGGGGCTGTGGAGGGAGGAAGTGGGGGGGGAGCCCAGATAAGCCCTTATTAAGCCTCATTGAGGGCGCATTTGGGCTCCATGCCCCCTCCTTCCTTTCCTCCCCCCCAGCCCTCATGATAACATGAATTGACATATGTTGCAATATCGTGTGCGTTGTGTTGCTGTCAGTATGTTGTGTGGATGTTGTACCTTGCTGGCCAAGTCAAGGTTCAATCAATTTACATGAGGTCACCAAAGCAAAGCGACCCACGCCATGAAAGTCAATGGCGTCTGGATGTGGCTTTTGCTGCCGTGTTACCGCATCTGTGCGGCCACAATCCGGCAACATCATTGACTTAATCGTCCAAAAGGAAAGGAAGAAATAAAATGTTTCACTTTGGGGATCGCGAGTCAATGGATCATCATGCAAACACCCAAAGATCAAACGGTCGACCTTGGGCCGCCCCCCCCCCCAACAAAGCAAAGAAAGAAGTGATTTCCCTGTGCTGCCCTTTAACAGCCACCCTGAGTCGACCTCCAAGGTTGAACCTGCCAATCATTCCAAGGCGCTCGCGGTGCCTTTGCTGGCGCTCACTTCACCAGTCGCGGTTTGGTCCTTCTCTCCGAAGTCGGAGTAGAACCTCGGGAAGGTTCAAATGACGGCCGTCCAGGGTTCCACTTTTTGGGTGCCCCAATAGACTTAAGCCCAGGGGTTTCCCTTTGGGGGACATCAACCACCCCTGGGTTCAAGTCTATCTTGGGGTACTCAAAAAGTGGAACCCTGGACGGCCAGCGCGCAGTCCCAAATCCATGACATGCATCTTTTCTCAACCTGGACCGCACTTCGTTACGCAAACAAATATGCCCTGAGCCCCAACGTATCGCAAAACCAAGGCTCGTCGCCAAAATATGGTAAGCCGTACACTTTTGCCTGCTTCGAGCGTTTCCCCCCAAACCGGGCTGATCGGTCCTCCAATATGATCGGTCACTGAAAAGAGCGAGCAGACATCGAAGTGCAAAACGAGCGCAGGTATCTGCAAAACGAGCGCAAGCATCCGAACACGAGCGCAAACTTCAAAACGTAGCAATTGCTCGCCTCCCTCCGAAAACAAAACGCCATGTTCGTGAATCTTCCGATGAGCGTTTTTCCCGCCCGTGCAGATTATCGCGCGTTTATCTGAAAAGCGCTTGGTTCAAGGAAAAATGCTCGGATGCGGATATCGAAAAGGAAGAAACTGTCCATCGTGCGGGCTCAGTCTTTCTGCTACTCATGTGCAAGATTTGCGGCGGGCGCCGAACGTGACAAAACTAGCAATTTGGGGTGCGCTCGTGTGGCGGGAAATGGCGCTTTTGTAGCGAGAATGTGCGCTCGCTGTGCGGCCTTTTCCGTTTCATCCAGGAAAGCTGCTTCTCTGTTCAATACATTGACCACATTGCGGAAAGTGTGCTCCAAAGGAGCCTCAATTCCTTTGCGAAGCAGCCCCCAGTTGGCTGATTGAAAGCTCGAAGACTAAGTAGCGCTCGTTTGCCCAAAAAGCGTTCGAAAGCGCAAAAAGCGTCCTTGAGCAGAAAAGAACGCTCGTTGGAAGATACAGGTTCTTCAAGGAGCGCGCTTTTCGAAGCATCTAGCAGAAAATCATGGCTCGAACCACGTTTTACGTAACACACATTTGTGTTCCAATGGGTGCTATAGGAATTTAGGGTAACGCACAAACTGGAAGGAGTCCTCTATGGATCGTGTGTTTTTGGATTTCCTCTAACAACTCAAAAGGTGAGCAGACATGTGCATGGCTATGATAGTCCTTTGGACTGCTGTTGGCACCATCAGTCGTTGAACCGCTCTGTCTCAATGAGCTCTATGCCAGTTCAGGCACGCGTCTTGCCGTGCCAGCCGGCTCACTCAAGTTCTCTATATTACCCCAAAAGAGCGGCGTTAACGCGACCGAAGAGAAGGAGCTGCAGAAAATACGAACCTCAGATTCAGGGGCGGTGTTCCTTTCTAGTAAATCATCCATTTGGTCGCGGGGTCGATCAATATATTTAATTTGAACCCAGGTACACCTCCGAATAGGGGCCTGGGTGTCCCAACAGAATCCGCCAATCTAGAAGGGCATTATTCCCATTCAGCTGAATGACTCCGAGGTGGACATCCTGGTGATTGATCTGCAAACTTTACTCTAATTCCCTAGGCCTTCATTTTAAGAATTGGATCAAGTCAAGGACACATTTCTCAGGGTGAGCTTATACCCTGACCAGGGAGCTCGCAATCAACTGCTGCGAAACAATGGGAAATGGAATGAACCTGGTGATTTCCTTTAGGAAACCAAATCCTGGATGGTGTCCTATGTGGTGTATTCTTGTTAATAGCTTCTTGGTTTGTTTCCTTCTGGTTTAAAAAAGATTATTCCCCTATGGTTTCCTTATGGCTGCAAGGTTTCCTGGTTCTCTTCGGGAAACGTTCCACCGATTTTCCCTTTGCCGTAAATATTGTCCTCCTTTTGCCTTTCCCCTTTTGCCCGCCTGCCGGCCTGCTACCTGGAGTCTCCATGACCCGAAATAAAAATGGGTCCATGACCCCATGTTGTTTTGGGTAATGCCCAACCACTTTTTAAAGGGTCATGGAGACTCCAGGTAGGTTTCATTGAAACGTTTCCACACGGGAAAATGGACTCCTCAGATCCACACGCCCCAAACCGCGCCGCTTGCGCCGCGCAAGCCGCCTGGTGAAGAGCCGATGGATCTGATCCGGCACCGCGGCGCGGAACTCCAACTCCTCGCACAAAAAACCGGCCCGCAAAAATGGCCGTGGTGGTCAAAACCGTTTGTTGGTTTGTTGTTCCTGTTGTTTCTGGGGTTTCTTCTTGGTTTTGTTTTTTGGGGGTGATTGTTGAATGATAGTTTCTGGGAAGTTTGGGGTGCCTTCTTGGAATGTTCATGGGGCGTACTCTCCACCAAAAAGTCCCAAGTTACACAAATCATACCCACATGGCTGTGGCGGTCCACGGCGCTCAGCAACAAAATTGGATTCCATCCCTCTACAAGTCATTTGACCCAAAACCGTTTTGGGATCCCATTTTGGTTGGTAGGTGCGGGTGCACCACCCATTTTGGGGTTCCTATTTTAGTGGTTGGATTGGGATGTTCACTGGGGGCTAACCGGGATCTTGACCCATCGCCAAATTTCTTCGCCGAAAACGTCCCACCCGCATCGAGAACTGAACAAAGGCCATCCGGAAATTTTGTTCCCGATCCGTCCCACCCGTTCGAGAAGTGAATTAAGGGCATCGCAACAGTCTTCGTGTGGCTCTTTTCTTCTTTGTTTTCCGGCCCTAGGAGGAGCTCCTGTGCCAAGATTAACTTTAATGATCTATTTTTGCAGCCACACACTGAGGTGTCTTGAAATATCGTTTGATTTGTTCAACAAATCGTTTCTTCTTTTCAAATATGCTAAGACTTAAGAAGAAAAAAGAAAGAGAAAGAGAGAGAGAAAGAGAGAGAGAGAGAGAGAAAGAGAGAGCCAGGGTTCAGCCGGAAGGGTTTTTGTTTGTCTTGCCATGCGGGTTCCACCTTGCGGCCCCTGCCTGAAGCCAAAAAACCACCACACCGCGATAGCCCGGGTGCCCTGCTTAGTTTTGAGAACCCCTAGGGTTCACTTTACCCCAAACGTTGGATTGCACAGCCTCCCAATTTGGAAGACGGTCTTGCTCTTGACTCTACACAAAGTTCACTTTCGGGTCCAATGGAAAACCTCCTGAATCAACAACAAGTTAAAGTCCAAAGATCCACTAAATAGCCAGATAGGAGGGAAAGGGTCCCAGTTTTTGTTCTCATGCAGCCAGGAATCATAGTCGATGCGGCCGCTTCGCAGAAGCGCGGGATCCAACGCATCTGACAGATCGGGAGCCAAAGAAATGCTTCTGCGTGGCTTTACCCCAACATCTTGGGTCCAACTCTTTGACTCCGAGGTTCAGGCACTTTTGGGGGTTCTTTCAACTGGGACAGTTCTTGCAAGTGCGTCCGAGAAACCGCCAATGCTTGAAGTTGCGACGAACCGCGGTCGAAACCAGAGCCAAGCTTTCACCCAAACCGCGGCAAATGACCGGGAAAAAAAAGACTTACGGGTAAAAACAGGGCCAAGTGCGCCTTTTGACGGAGAAAAAAACATGGCCTTTTCTTTGGGCTCCACGTGCTCAGACCCAATCGGGAAAAGGCGAAGCAATTTGCCTGGACCCCTCCAGTCGCGAAAAAGCCCCAATTTTTAAAAAAGTGGTTGCTCATTACTCCCAAAATAATGGTTGGTCATGGACCCATGTTTTATTTATTGTCGGGTCCTTAGGGAGACTCCAGGAACAAACCGAAAGGCCACTAGGCCGGCGGACGGGGAAACGTTTTGACGGCGCAAATAGGTAAGGAAAACCAAAACAGGGATCCTCACATTGTACACCTGACCATTGCAACTTGCAAATGGTGGTGTCCAACTTTATTTTGGTGTTGAAAAAGCCACATGTTTCAAATTGGCAAAATGGCTGTAGCCTGGCTCAAAATTAAACAGGGGGGACAAACCGCAGGTTTGGTCCATGTTTCCACTTAACAGGGCAACCCATTTTGGAATTCCGGTTTTTTGAGCCACAGCCAGATGTTTCAAAAAATGGTTGCCTTCGCTTTGCCTTTTAGTTCTTTTGCACAAAAACAAGTTGGACCAGATGTAATGTAGAGTGCCTCAAGGAAACAACAGGGTACCACTGAACAACCAGGAGCAGGCAACTTGCAGAGCAAATAGAAGTCAAGATTTCGGAAACCCACCTATGCACTCCCAGATTTCAAAGACTCCTGCCGCTGTCAGAGCACTTAATTTCAGCTGCATGTTTGGAGCGGCAACCAGGAACTTTCGAGATTCAGCGGTGCCGAAGAACCATGTCACTGACTTCCGACCGATCACTCGGTTTCCATCCGATCAGCTCGTTTCGACTGCCAAGCATCCAAAAACGAAGGGCGCGGTTTTTTGGGTGGCCGAAACAATGAACCGACCAACACGTTAACAAATTTGCCCCATCGCCAGAAACCCTCGACATCAAAAAACAAAAAACCTGGGCCATGAATTCCTTGAAGCTTCGGACTTTGTGAACATCATGGTCACCCAACGTGCGAGGACGTGCAAGACATAGCTCCCAGCCGACGTGGCAGGCTTTTTTCGCGGCCTTTGTTGTTGGTCGTCATGAAGAGCAAGCGCCCCGTAGTGGCGGTGGGCCCATCCTGAGCGGATCTCTGGAAAGCCACTGCAAAAGCATCTGTGCGCGACGGTAGAACAAATCAAAGCTTGAAAAAAATACAAGCTCTACTCGCCGGTGGACATGAGGCAACTTGGCTTAGTAATTACCCACATCATTCAGGCCCTGATAAGCTTAGATGTCAGCGAATTTGTGCTGACTGGAACCGCCGTTAGAAGATTTGTCTTGTGGACCTTGAATCGTTCAAGGCATATGGTTGTTTGTGTTACGGTCATTTTCCAGTGGCTTTGAGAAATCAACATGACCTGCGTAAAATTAAACAGCGGTACACGGCAACCAGTTTGTGCGCTCCGTGTGGGCTTAATCACGGACTCTGAGAAGGGCTTTGTTGGCTCGCGCCTTTTACATCTGGTTTCAATTGCATTATTGCGCAGGCTGGCGACGCCAAACGGGATGTAGGTCTGAGGGGGGCTCGATGGTGTTGGCTGTGCAACAAGAATGGAAGCCAACATAAGGGTGTGCTGTACAAACTAACTAGGTCCTTCAGTAGAGAGGTTAGAATAGGTACGAATTTTTTTCCGGTAGTCTTTTTTGGTAGGGGAAAAGGGTGAGAAAGGGCACTACGGGACCTAGTTAAATGGAGCCCTCGTCTGTTTGCAATCGCAAACCACCAACTTCATTGCGAGGCCCCTCTGTGCCCCAAAAGCCCAATCTCTCTCTCTCTCTCCGCACTGCACCTCAAGAACTCCCCCAGAACGGCAACCCAAACACCAACAGTCACCGCAAGTTGAAAGATCATTTTAGTGGCGGTTAATGCAAATGTTCCATCATCCACTACTCATGGGAGGGGGCAGGTATGGACCTCCATCAAAAATGAGCTCGCAAAAAATACCTTATAATTCGAGCAGCTTCGTCAACCCAAGACAGCTCACTTCTTCAATCCTTGCCTGCGCAAAGAAGCTGAAAATACAAGGTTCACCTGCTGCGACCTTGATCTCTTGACTCTTGCCGAGTTTGTTTCAAAAGGTTGGAAGTTGACTAACTCAGCAAGAATCATTTGGTGGGTTCAATTCGAGTTGGGGCGGTTCATAAATCCAAGCTCAACCGTCTGCGCCTTGCAAATTTTTATCAGGAACCCATTTGTGGATGTTGCTACAGCCCCAATAAAACTGGGCCAGCGGGCCCTTCACGGCCCCCAGAAAGCCGCCATGCCCTCCTCTGGGCTGTCAAATGGAAACCCAACCACTGAACACTAAAATATCTAAAAGGCTGAGGGAATGGCTGCGAGCCATCCAAGTAATTAATAGGTGTCCTTGGTCCAAAGGTCTAAAAAGCTAAGGAACCGGATGGCGAGCACCAAGGGAATACAGCAAAGGATCGTGAAGATTGACTGATGCTCACCGCTATCTACCTATGCTGCGTTGCATTGCACACAAATGTTTCGCCCAGACCCCCACTCCAGACGACATGTTGGATGCCAACATTTGCATTGTGTGGAGTTCACCTAAGCTTCGAACAAAACCCATTGACCTTTGGTGCTACCAACAGGGTTGTAAAGGTGTCTAAAGTCCTTGCTAGAATCCTTGCCAAACCAGGTAGTAGAAGCACGTACTTAAATTGGTCAACAGGGGTTTTGGACGCTGACCTGTTGCTTCCTTCTTTCACACTGCTTTTTCGAACACCGGGTTTGCGCCATCGTGCGGTGTTACACGCTTTCTTCGGACCCGAGAACCTGAGACGTGCAAACTTAAGTTTGACACAGTGGTCGAACAAATCCATCAAGTCCGGACTGGGAACAGAACCCCTTTACCGAGTCTCCTCTTTTTTTCCCAAAATGGCACACATCTGCACAAATTGCACTCACAACTGGACATCCCCATCCAGGTCCTCCAGTAGACAGGTTAGAATAAGGGTACACCTTTTTTTCCTGTAGTCTATTTTAGTAGGTTTGTTTTTCCTCAAAAAAATGGTAAACGGGCACTACTGCATGCTTCATCCTCATGGGCCAGCTCGTTCAACGAGCTCGAATTGGAGTGATTAACGTGCTTTTTTGGAAAGCGGCGAGGCAGGCTCCGGGCCCACTTTCAGAGACAAGGCGCCAGCGCATTCAGCAGGCATGACAACGTCAGCCTGCCTTAGCCCATATTCAGGTGAGCGAGCGGCAAAACCTAAATGCACAGAAGTGATTTAGGACTCATTCTTATCGTTTTTGGGGGTTCGCTATATCGTTTTGCAGGTTTCTGGCACATGGAGAGCGCGCACTGTCGTTTTATTGTCACGGCACATTGGCTTCACAGCTCTGTTTCAGACTCTTCCATTGGGTCAGCAGACAAAGCAGCCGCATGTTTCCGCTTACTCCGGGCGTTTTGCCTTGACCAAGCGGGCTTCATCGCGAGTGACCATTTGGTTGAAAGTCAGGATTTAGTGCTTTTCAAGGTGCCGCGAAACATGCGCAGCTGGGCATGGTGCTTCCTCATGATTTCATTCGTTTGATTTAGAGCAACCGTTGGTTTTCTCCATGTGGGATCTTGCCAAAAGCCGCGCTTCCACTGTAGTTGCTCTGCTTCCAACTTGCGCTCGACGATCTGGTACGGAGCACACTGTCTGATAGCGCTGTTACCTGCGCGAGGCTTACCATAAAACAACAAAGCAAACGCACAAACGCAAAGCAGAACTGTTTCTCTAAAGCAAAGCAGTTGATTTCGAGCGAGCTTCTGAAGAGGCAGTTGGAGATGCGTACGGGAAAGCGTGAGTTTCCAGATGGCACTGCTTCCAGGCAGATCGGAGTCCTTGAAAACCTCCTTTCGCAAACGCTTGAGAGCCTCCTCATCACTCATGGCGCACTACGAGTGCACGCAGCACGGAGACATCGAAACTGTGCGCACGAGTCTACCGTTATGGGCAACTGCTCACGAAGACGATTTTCCGAATGAACTGCTTATCGTTTCGTCATCGTTTCGGTTATCGTTTTGGGCAGGTATGTTTTTGCCAAAGTTCGCGGAACAAACAGCATTGCGTGGCCGCAGGGCCCGATCTCACATATGCTGGGCGCGTCAGGAGGCGCAGACATGATGGTTGGGATTCTGGGCCACAACAAAAACTGCCAAACGCGAGACGCTCCAAGCATCGTCTGCCACATCATGAAAGCATGTTTTTTATCGTTTTTGGGGGTTCCCTATATCGTTCTACAAGGTTTTGATAGATTTCCTCACGCTAAATCGCCCGAATGCATAAAGAAGTAACGGAGAGTTTAGCCTGTTGCTCAGGTGGGTTGCACGTGGGAGCAGTCCTTGAATTGCTTAGTTATTTTTTATACACAGCACTTTGGCTTTGGTATTGCAATGTCTCGGTTTGCCAGGGTAAAGCACACGTAGAAAAATGCGCAGACTTGCTTGTGTGCTTGGAATCCCAAGGCGAATTCATCCTGGCTCAGCCTGTTGTTTGCAAACCGGCGTCTGTGCTCAAGCAGGCAAGCAGGCAGGCAGGCAGGCAAACAGGCGGGCGTTTTTCTTTAAAGCTGCGTTCAAAAGATGTCTGTCCAGAAAGGGAGATCAATTTAACAACAAGAACATTAGTACTAGACAACAACTTAATCAATGGGCAAGTGGCTTTTCATGACAAGCTCAGATAAGAGAAGTCACTAAGAAAGGCTCGGATTGAACAGTTGCCACATGTACAAATCGGTGATCCCAGAAGTCTCCGCAGATTGCATCCGAGTGTAACACAGAATCTAAAAAGAAGTGGAACCCTTCTGCGGAATTCATGATAGCACGGGGAGCACGAAGCTCAAAGCCGCTCTCTAACGAAAGGACACCCATGGCAGGGATCCGTTCGGCTTGCCAAACTTTTGGCTGACATGAGGGTAGCGCCCTCGGATCCCCTGCGAACAGTTTCTTTTGGGATAAATGGGAGCCCTCCACTAAACCAACTAAACAGATCTGAAAAGCTAAGGAACCGGATGGCTGGTTGAGCCAAGAAAAGAAGAAAGAGGTTGGATTTCCCCTATGGCAGAAGATCACCAAAACCCATGCCGGCCTCGGCGATTCTTGCGCTTCTCCCCGTCATCCTGCAGTTTTGCCGATCGAGATCTGGGAAATTGTAACGGGGGGACCTTCATGAAATGAACTAAATACAACCGAGATTGTTGCTCTACCTGGGCAGCAAACAAACCCTGATTATTGAGGCCGCAAACCCCGGTTGGTGAGGTCGCAACTTTATTTGCCAAGCATCATACCCCTTTGCTAGTTCTTCCTTAGTGGTTGGGGAGCAACAAACGCAAGCAATTATACGGGGCCGGGAATTTGCTATGGATGTTGAGCAATTGGCAAATTCATGTGTGGGTTGTTGAGAAGAGGTCCGCAGTGTTCACTCTGTTTGTTCATTGAATTCATTTACATCCACGTCGCTGAGCAAAGCCGACGTTCCCAAAACGGAAAGCTAGTCAATCAGCAACCAGCCCACAGAAATAGGCGTCCCGGGTGCTTGCAGTGCCTCCAGGCATGGGCCATCTTGGGATCAACATCTATGAACCTCAGTCGCTTTTGCCAGTCCCATTGATCCCTCCTGGTCACGGGCATCAGAACCCCGGCACTTCCTTCGAGCTTGGGGGGCCTTGTTGCGAAGAGAGCCCAAGTTGTCAAGTGAAAGTATCGCAATCATTGTGCCAGCGATTGCAAAATCACTAGTACAATGTTTATAAAACAAAATAAGATGGCACGTACATCTATTTCAGGGAAAGAATGCAGACATGTCCGGCACCCAAAGTCACCTTGAAGTTAGCAAGGTTACTCCAACTGCGTGCGACGTCCGCGGCATTTCCTAGCCGCGCAATCAGAGTCCTTCTGGGTTCTCGGCCCCAATGTGGGCTCATGTCCATCAACCACTTGTGAGGTGGTTCCTTACTCAAATACATGGCCATATTAGCAAGCGCAGGATGCCTAACATAAACACACTTGGCCGATTTGCTGCACGCGGGACATCCTCCTCAAT